AATAACTGTTTGTTACAAATAAATTAAAATTACTGTTTGTTAGCAAGTAGCGTCCTTCGCGAGACGCGGACGTCACGTGATATGGAACGTCACTGTTCGGATATTCCTAACTTAAATCTAACTGTCATAAATATATATATATTATGAAATGAACAAAGTCCGACAATTACTTTAAGACATTTTTTTATGTTTATACATTCTTTTTATAGATACAAATATTTAAGTAAATGATCTGTTTTATAATAAACAGTATTAATAACATTTACAGGCCTGAATGTCCGAGAAATTTTCACAGAAAATATTCGTCCTTTGACAGGAATTGAACCTGTATCCTATACGGAACTGTCATTTAGCATTTGGCATTCAAGTTGCACTGAGTTTCGGCAGGTGAAAGGCCTATCTACGAGAGAGTGTGGTGAATGTGTGCCCGATGTAATCATTTTTTTTTTTACTGTTTTATTATTAATAATGTTGGAGATGCAATCTCCCTGGGGGCATGGAAATACATAGACAGGATTATTTTCCTGCGGGTGGAGTGGGTACATTTAAGGTCCTGTGCTGTTAACAATTAAATTAAATGTTTTAAACTTTTTTTTATAGTAGACAATAAATCTTAGGTGGTCCGATCATTGAATGGTATGTAGCGGCGGATTATGTTTTTAATTGCTTTTCCGTCCTGTTTATAATTAGGGCCCATCTGGTTACGATAGAATAAGTTAATAACGTGTTTGTTTTTATCTGCATCAGGTTGGTGACTTGCGTTATATTTTATGAAATTCGATGAGGTTAATTTTATTTGTTCATCGACGAGATGATTATGGAAGTTATTATTGATTACAGTTTGTTTAATGTTGCTTCGTTCCTCATATATCCGAAGAAGGGATGATTTGGGCCCGAAAAATCATGTTTTTTTGTTTTTGTTTTTTTTATAACAGCCGTAGAAAACAGATAAATCAATCAATAAAATACTAATTAGCAACACTGTCATGTCTTGTAAATTTAATTACATTCTCTGGAAAATAAATGTATAGAACTAGCATGGTCACAAAGTGAGGGATCAGTTTATATATTGATTATAATATAGGATTGATCACCCATTTTTACATCCACAGTATTTTTTGTTTGTCAGTTTTTGATTAGGCACGACTCCACCTCCTTTACCCCAGCTATGGATTAATTAGTAAGACTTCTGACTAAAATATCTCCGAAAAAGAAAAATATGCAATCTAAAGATAGATTCTGGCTTTAAATAACCTACAAAGGGTTGATATGCCGTAGAAAATAAATGAATGATTCAATTAACAGAATATCAAGGCGAGAAAGTTAGCCTACTCTTAACTGGGTCAGAAATGCAAGGCACCTAGTGAGAATCGAATTCATTACAGTCTGCGAGACGAACATGTTAAACAATTAGCTACGGCAAGGTAAGTTAAACCCACTTCTTTTTATTACTCTGTAAAACTGACTGAAAATATTAATTTAAATGCGTAAACGAGTATTTTTTTTTTCTGGATTGATAGTTGCCAGGAATTTCTTACGCGGATATTGTCTCGAAGAAAGAAAAAAAAATCGTGGTTGTCTGATTAGAAAAATATTCGAACTATTAAGATATTAGACACAAAGTTATGAAAAAATAAAAAAAAATACAAACACATTAGACATATAAAGTTATTAGAAAAAAATAACACATCCACTTTATTTGTGATGATTCAAGAAAAGACATTGGTTTCATCTAACCCCCTTCAACCCCCGGCTTTTGGACACTTGTCATTTCCTCTTTCCTTTCATTTTTTTTCTGTTTGCTTGATGGCATTTTTTTTAATATTTTACTCTCTTCTTATATTTATTGATTCTTTCTTTCTTTTCTCTCGTTAATTACTTTCTTTCTTTCTTTCTTTATTTCTTTCTTCTCGTTAATTTCTTTCTTTCTTTTCTTTTTTCTCATTAATTTCTTTCTTTCTTTTCTTTTTTTCTCATTAATTTATTCTTTCTTTTTTTGTTCTTTTCTCAAAACATCTTTTCTTTTCTTTCTTTCTTTCTTTGAATTTTTCTTTTTACTTATCAATTTTTTCTTTCTCTTTTTGTTCTTTTCTCAAAATGTCTTTTCTTTTCTGTCATTATTTCTTTCTTTCCTTCTTGCTTTCTTTCTTTCTTTTTTCTTATTAATATTTTCTTTCTCTTTTTGTTCTTTTCTCAAAATGTCTTTTCTCTCATTATTTCTTTCTTTCCTTCCTTCTTTCTTTCTTTCTTTCTTTTTTCTTATTAATATTTTCTTTCTCTTTTTGTTCTTTTCTCAAAATGTCTTTTCTTTTCTGTCATTATTTCTTTCCTTCCTTCTTTCTTTCTTTCTTTCTTTTTTCTTATTAATATTTTCTTTCTCTTTTTGTTCTTTTCTCAAAATGTCTTTTCTTTTCTGTCATTATTTCTTTCCTTCCTTCTTTCTTTCTTTCTTTCTTTTTTCTTATTAATATTTTCTTTCTCTTTTTGTTCTTTTCTTAAAATGTCTTTTCTTTTCTGTCGTTATTTTTTTCCTTTCTTTCTTTCTTTCTTTTTTCTTATTAATATTTTCTTTCTCTTTTTGTTCTTTTCTCAAAATGTCTTTTCTGTCATTATTTCTTTCCTTCTTTCTTTTTTTATTATTTTTCTTTCTTTCTCTTTTGGCTCTTTCTTTCTTTTACCTCTTCAACGTACTTTCTTCCAACTTTCTTCTTTCTTTCATCATTTTTTGTTTCGTTCATATGAATTACTTTTTTTCTCTTTTTGGTCTTTTCTAAACATTTCTTTACTTTTTCTTTTATTACCTCTACTTTCTTGCAACTTTTCATTCTTTTTTCTTTCTTTCGTATAAGTTTACGCCTCGTTTTTATTAATTTATTTTTTCCAATTTCTTTTCTCAAACTTTTCATTCATTCAGTTTTCGTTTCTTTCTTATTAATTTATTTTGTCTCTTTTTGTTTTCTCAAACTTTTCTTTCTTTCTTTCTTTCTTTCTTTCTTCCTGTTTTTCACCTCTGTAACGTACTTTCTCGCAAAATTTTATTCTTTTTCCTTTCTCTCTTTCTTTTGTTTCATTCTTAATAATTTCTTTCTCTTTTTGTTCTTTTCTCAAAATTTCATTTTTTCTTACTTTCTTTCTTTTTTACTCTCTTTCCTTCTTTCTTTCTTTCGCCTCTGAAGTGTACTTTCTTGCAGCTTTTCATTCTTTTTTCTTTTCCTCTTTCTTTTGTTTCATTCTTAATAATTTCTTCTTTCTCTTTTGTTCTTTTCTCAAAATTTCTTTTATTTTCTTTCTTTCTGTCGTCTTTTTCCCCCTTTCTTTCTTCCTCTCTTTCCTTCCTTCCTTCCTTTCTTTTTTCTTTCTTTCTTTCTTTCACCTCTGCAACGTACTTCCTTGCAACTTGCATTTTTTTCTTTCTTTCTTTTTTATTCTTAATAATTTCTTTTTTCTCTTATTCTATTCTCAAAATTTCTTTTCTTTCTTTTTCTTTCTTTCTTTCTTTCTTTCTTTCCTTTCCTTCCTTCCTTCTTTCTTTCGCCTCAATAACGTAATTTCTTGCAACTTTTCTTTCTTTTTCCTTTCTCTCTTTTTTTTGTTTCATTCTTAATAATTTCTCCTTTCTCTTTTTGTTCTTTTCTCAAATTTTCTTTTCTTTCTTTCTTTCTTTCTTTCTTTCTTTTTTTCTTCTATTTTCAAACTTTTTTTTTTCTTTTTTGCTGTCAACTTTTCCTTCCATTTTTTTCTCTTTTATTTCATTGCGTTTTTATATTTACCTTTACTTCCTTTATGCCACTTTAGCTATCTTTTTTATCTTTACATAGCTCTTTATTATCAATTATTTCATTTTCTTTCTTTCTTTCTTTCTTTCTTTCTTTCTTTCTTTCTTTCTTTCTTTCTCGCCGCTCTTTCTTCTCACGGTCTGATCCAATTTCTTTTTGTTACACTTTTGTTTAACTTCTCCTTCGCTTATTGTGCTGCACACTATACTAAAAAACATGTACATAACAGATATAAATATATATATATATATATATATATATATATATATATATATATATATATATATATATATATATATAAACACCCACATAGACAGAGACGCTAAAAATCAAGAAGGAAGTGAAATCAGTTGAAGATTTCCAAAACCTTCCGTCAATCCATCTGCCACACCTTGCTATCCTCTATACACCCCCATATGAAATGACAAGTAAAAGAAAACGGTCCGATTTCAAGAGAAGAACCTGGCCCTTTCACTCAGAAGACCAGATCTACACAGAAACGCTAGGTTAATGACCCGGGGGGTAGGGCATTCGTCTCCTGGGGGAAAGAAATGAAGGAGACCTGGGCGCTCGACTTTAACATATGCTGAGATTCTAGGACTAACATTGTCCGTCATTTCAACCTAATCAAAACTAGTGAAAAAAAAAGAAGAAAAGTGATTCGTGGCGACTCCCGTGTTTTTGTAGGCCCAAACTCTGAAATGGTTTCAACATCACTTAGCTTTGAAAAATAAATAAACAAATAAAGGATAAATAAAATAGATAAACAACAAAAAAAATATATGGTGGAGGAGGCTCTACGTCATCTGGGGTTTTGTGAGTGATGTTCAGTGGTTACCGCGTAGAGTTACATGTTAAACTGTCAGAGGTTTTATTTTGTTTTATCTATTTATATATGTTTTGAGAAAGCCCCACTACCAGGTTGATGGTTCTCACTTTAGGAACAGATAAGCACAATTTTTAAACGAAAACTTTTCTCTTTAACTCGGTACACGCACGTACACACACGGAGACAGAGAGCAAAATAGCCCACGTAGGCTTTTTACAAAATTTCGGTATAATAAGCCAATGAAAGAAAATGGAAAAGGACTGAATAATAATAATAATAATAATAATAACAACAACAACAACAACAACAACAACAAAAACAGTCCGTTATGAGCCATGAGTGATCTTTCGATACAGGACTGACGAGGCAGATTTTTTCCCGCAGTAGGTTGCCATTTCTTTCTGCGGTAGACCAGTTCCCACACAAGGCTATAGATCCCGGTCTGTCCTGCTATCTACCCATAGCTGGTGGTGGAGAAGAAGAGGATTCGTACCTTCCCCAAGGGTATTAGCACGTCACTCAGTCAGTTATGTGCCATGCGTGATACACACTTAGGTGATCATGTATCTTTCGATACATGACTGACGAGGCAGATTTTTTCCCGCAGTAGGTGGTCATGTCTTTCTGCGGTAGACCAGTTGCCATCCAAGGCTAAAGAACGCGGTCTGTCTTGCTATTTTACCCATAGATGGGGAGTAGAAGAAAAGGATTCATACCTTTCCAAAGGATATTAGCATGTAAGTGAATGTAATGGATTCAACCTCGGCTCTCCGATTCCTCAATCCGAGCCACTATCCATTACTCCATCGTGCCCAACAACAACAACAACAACAACAACATTAATAATAATTATAATAATAATAATAACAATAATGATAATAATAATAAACTGATATTAAGAACTTGATTGAATTCTCAGAACAGTATTATAGCCATTAATTGCCTTGCCATCGCATTGGATCAATTTAGTATCAACATCTTGTACTGGACTCTAAATAACATCAGACGTGTGGATTCTAAGATAAGAAAGCTTATTTCTAAGCATAACATGCATCATATGATGCAGGCCGCCTATACTTACCCCGTAAAGAAGGTGGAAGAGGTCTTATTTCATACAATACGACAACTATTTACTTACTAACACATGGAAAGAACAAAGGTCTGGATGATGCAATTAGTCAAACAACACGAAAGCAGAAAGAAAACGTATTCAATCATGAAAGCAGTTTGTAAATAGAAACAAGATTTACATTTAGTAGATTCTGTAGAAAACCAAAACAGAACCAAAGAACCAATTGTCGCAGAAAATATGAAAGCCAAGAATAAAGCTCTTGAACAGATGAAACAACGCTGGGAAGACAAACCTCTGTATGGCCAATATCCTGAATCCTGAACTTGCTAATAAAGCTAATGTTGATAAAGTTAACACTCATCGAGGGTTACGAGTATCTGGATGAAAGGCTGAAACGGGAGGCTTTATTCTTTCCAGTGTCTTTTCATTGGAAACTTCCAGGCAAATATCATGCATAATAATTAGGATTCCAAATGCAGGTCATGAGACAAATATCAGGAAACCATAGACCATCTAATCTCAGGATGTTCTGTACTTGCACCAAAATGAATATACAAATCGTCACAATAGACTGGGGCAGTACTTACACTGGACAATGTGTCAACACTTTGGAAAAGATGTTAAGAAACACTGGTATGAACAATACGTAGCATTGGTTAAAGAAAACAGAAGACATCACAATATTATGGGATGGCACCATCTTTACAGACAAGAAGATTAAAGCAAGTAAGCTGTTCATGTCAGTCAACTACCGAAAAAAAAAACTTTCCTACTATTAGGTTGGTGCAAAAAATAATGACGTAATAATGTCGTTTTTGGACGTTAAAATATACGTCAAAAAACGACATTATTACGTCATTATTTTTGCACCAACCTAATAATTGATATGGCTTGCCCAGCGGTCTGTAACATAGCAACCAAAGCAATTTAATAACTATCAAAATATAAAAACCTGGAAATTGAAATAGAAAAATGTGGCAAACGAAAACAAGAATTGTAACATTAACATTTTCCAGTCCATTTTATCGATTGGCTTATCTATATACAATAATAATAATAATAATAATAATAATAATAAAACGCTTGAGGATAGTTACGTATACAAATTTCTAACATCTCGTCCCTGGAGAGTGAACAAAATGACTAGAGATTTCCATAAGATTTTATACTAAGCTGTTTGATTAATTCCTCTTGGTAAAATAAACAGCTTGCCACTCATATTCTAGGATACTAGTCTCCTAGGGCGGCTAGCCAATCCCTATTGCAGACGTTTGCTCAGGTGCATTTGTGTTTAACACCCACGGAGCCCATCTGTGGTTTATACTACGACTATGCTGAGCAGACCTTAGTTACAGTTTCTAGGAAAGAGCTTGTTATGTGGCAAATGAAAACAAGAATAGTACCGGTTATAGTAGGTGCGCTTGGAATGATAAAAAAAGGAACACAACAACACATTGTAAAAATCCCTGGAAATCCCAGCTTAAGAGGAATAAAAAAAAAAGTTATAAGTATAGCCCAAACACGAAGAAGAACTTTGTCCATGTAACGCTAATGACGCTATCGGAGTTAGAAAAACTAATCATGAAATGTAGCTATAACAAAACCTCACTTCCTGCCTTAGGTCTTCCCGCAGACTTGGGAGGTAGCATGACCATAACAGAAATCAAAATATAACGATGAAATAATAATATTTATATTCCAGTGTTACACCAATAGACAATATAATAATAACCAAAGATTCAGATTTTTAACATTTTCCAGTCCATTTTGTCGATAGGCTTATCAATATACAACAACAACAACAACAATAACAATAATAATAA